TTCTCTAAGTATTTTTAATAGATCTTTGATCTCCAAGCATTTCGCGTTTATCTATATGTATATTATTATGATAAACTATTTCACAAAGGTCACGCTCAATTTCATCGACGTTACGGTGTGCGCATACGACGGCGACAAAAATGTCAACGTCCGACTATCTTCATCGAAAGACTTTCGCCGCAGAATCTTCCGAGAGTCTTGTAGCCATAACCCTTACGTGCGCTCCTTTCTAATCCATAGGAGTTAAGAATCGAAGCGCAATCAAAGGAATATTCGTGAATGATCCGCGTTCCACTTTCATTCATAACGCCACCCAATATCACACCTTACCTAATTTTTTTTTGTTAAAGATGCATGTCATCGTAATCTTTTAGAAATCGAGTGTTATAAGAAAGCCATCTATAATCTCATCATGCTGATTCACAACTTCCTTATTTTCCAGCCATCGATCGTTAGAATATTTAGATATTCAGGGTAATGGAGTATGAGATTAGATTATGAAGATGAGTTGTTCAGTCGTCTCCGTCCCACTTTGACTCGTATAGACATAAACATGTTTCGTTTTAATTCAGAAATCACGTATCTTAAAAGTATGAAAAACTGAAAGCAAGTGTATTAGAATGAAATATACCTAGATAGAAAATAGACAACACTAATATTTGGAAACCACATCACTTGTTTTATTTTATCATTAACAATTGCGTAATATTTTGCAGAACAGATATTTTTATAAGATATGTTAAGAACATAATATGTATCGAAAATTTCCGATCCGCTTCGTTTTAATTAGCATAATTTTACAAACGTGGAGATTCATAAGACGCGACCCACATTTTCTGTGTCCTTCTGGTCGGCGGCATTTCACTTGTCCGCGATTCGAACGCGAATCCGGAAAGAGAAGAATGATACGATCAGGCTCGAAGAAATCTCAAAGTAGCGATTAAAAAATAAGAGTAAACCTGTTTCCAGAATGGAACCGGCACCACGCAAGAATTGTTTGAGAAACTTATTTATCTGCGAATACAACAAATGTCCCGTTTCGGGAAAAGAGAGAGGCGCACATAAACTATATCTTTAAGATGTAACTATTATAAATAGTTGCATATATAATTATGTTATATTTTAAAGATAACATAATATACATGATTTTTTAAGATTATAACATATTTTTCGAAAAAACATTTATCATATGATTCTGTAGAGAATTTCCGAGAACAGTTTCCGTTTCGCTTTCCAATTGTTAGTTCTTCCCACGCTCGCCTCAACATCCGAATTTATGTTCTCACGATTTACAATATTTATTTTCATTCCTAGATAGTAACATCATCAGGTCACGTAATGTCGATTTATGGATCGGCAAAAAATTGGACGGATCGCAGCGTTCTCGTGTATATCGATCACCTGTCTATCGATCTACCTTATAAAATGACGGGCGAAGTCAAAGGTACAACAAAATAAATTGTGACTTTTAAATTAATTTTAAATAGTATCATTGAAACGTAAATTTTTTTATTTTAATATTTATGTTATCCTATATATGTATTTTGTAAATTTTGACGATTTCAAACACTCTTGTTACATTAAAAGAAGAGTTGTGACTATAATTGCATGGTAAAATAATTATGAATAGCAGCTCCATTTTTATAATTATTGCCATTAATAATATTTATATAATGTTAATAATTATTATATGTAATAATAATTATATTTATATAATTTTATATACAAAAATATAGTTGGCACAAAAATGATTATAATTTATAGTTATTCTTTATAATTTTGTATCTAACTATATATATACTTTTTATATATTTTTTATATAAGACTATAAAATTATACTAACTATTACTAACATAACTATATTTATAGCTAATGACAGCAGTAATAAAAATAAAGCTTCTAACCATAATTATTTTATCGTGCAATTACAGTCGCAAGTATCAAACATTTTTCTCTCAGTGTATCGTATTATTAGCTGGGTAACTTTATATCACCTTTTTATCATGATAATATTATTACATTTTTATCCGATTATCTTAATGCTCTTGTGAAAGTATAATACTCAACTATTAAATTTCAACTATTAAAAAACAAAGTAACAATCTCGAATATATCACTGGTGATAAAACATATTAAAGGCCTCGTTTCCTAGAACGCGTGTTTATTTTTTTTATTTCATTTTATTTCTTTATTTCATAATACTCATCCTCTCATGAAAGTAGGTTGGTAATTCTTAATGTCGGAAAATTATGCTTTATTCGCGACTTCTCTGAAACAATTTATCGCGCACCAGATAAACGTCTACTAACAGTGGCGTTGCTTATCGTATGCCGCTGTGGTAACATTTAACACGTTGCTAACTGAAGACAGTAAGTACTGCCTATCGTACAATGAAATATCATTTGAGCGTAGCGTAAAACTACCGCTTTCACCCCTTCCTCTGTCATCAAACAGCTGTTATTAGAAACGAAATGCGGAGTTTGATGGGGAAACTGAAGTTCGAATAGTATAAAGCTGCGGCGAATTTCGGACACAGTGTTGTTTCCGCGGAAAAGAAAGTCATTGACGTAAAAGGTTTTAAGCCGTAAATCATTTCCCGTTATTTTACAATAAATTGCTCTCACCACAAATGAAAACAGAAGCGTCGTGATTTTTGGAAATTTTTTGGTATTATCTATAATTTTTTCGTGACTGATAATATTCATAATATTTAATGTTTGAATTATAAAGTTATTTAAAAAGATATACCAAAAAAACTATTTTGCTGAAGCGTATAAAAATTTAGCTAAATATAAATTTGAAAATAATTTTGATAATTCAACGAAATTATTTTCGGATCTGTATTTAAACTTTTAGATATGTATTTCAGCAAAAAATAAAATTTCTGTTCTTTCTGTGCATACAAATTAATATTTTAAAATTAATATTAATTTTGTTAAATAATAACACTGTGTTATAATCTGTTTCTGACCATCTAAATAGTGATTCTTACGTATCTTTAGTTACTACAAAGAATATAAGAGTTCCATTATTCACAAATTTTGCATGTAACATTTATGTAAATTTTATTTTAGCTGTAGCAGCAAAATTTCGATTTTATAAAAATGAGATATTAACAAAGCGCTAATAATAATCATAATGCAAAATATAATTATCGAAAGTGTTTTCTTACTTTACGATTCTTGCTTATCTTAAGGCGATCTTATCACGCCTTTAAACATGACTTGCGTCGAAATTGACGTAAATATTGCAGTACATGCAAAATAACACTTTCGCCGTTTACTTTTTTATGGGTATTACATAGATCACTTGATATTACAGTGCTTTGTGCGCTTTCCAAGCAATTTTCTGTTGCTCTAAGGCGAGAAAGTTTACGATTGCATGGTATTTCTAGCAGCAAATGCGCTATTATACAATTCTTAATTTACAAGCCTTAATCGCCAAATTATTTAATTCCACAAATAAGGTTAATCAATCGTAAATTAATTACTTGTCAATGAAGTTTTTTTGACATCGTCGTTTTTGGAAGTTGCCACGATGAATATGTCAAGAGCAATAAAGCGCATAATCGATATTTCATCGTAAAAAATATCAGGCATAAAAATTGAGCAACTTTCTCTAAACATTCATACACTATTAATCGCGCTATCAGAAGACAGCAATTATAGAGAAAATAACTGTATCTTTTAATTCATTATGGTATTTAACGCCGATTAATTTCTTTCGACGATAAGCCATTTTCTAAACGAGACGAGTACCTAAGTAGCTAGCCAAGCATAACATTTTATAATAACAAAAAGAGTGTTTTCGAAAGCGCGCTGAACCACGAGTTGAATCATGCGTGAAAATTCAAATAACCTTCGAGTAACAAGTAAAAGTGTCTGGTCTTTCTCCGTCTAGCGCAATTTTACATTTCTCAAAATTATTTTAGGCAATTCTTTATGTATCTCTTTACAAGAATACTGAATCTAGGATTAATTGATTAGAAAAATATTTGAAAAGTATATTGATATTTCAACTTTAATTTACTATTTATATGAATTAAAGGAAGGTCGCCCAAAATTTATGATAAAAAATCCAGACTTTCTATCGATATATGGGTTGCTGAAGACATTCTGTCCGTAGATCTGTAGAGTCACCTGCTTCACGCACGCGACAAAAAGATTGTTGTGATGAATTGCGAAGAAAAACTTTCTCAAGACAATAGAGTGTCACATGAAAAGTACAAGATTCGGAACAGTAATCACAGACAGAACAGTATGTTGCCCACCTGTTAAGCCGATAGGTACAGCAATAACATGCACGGTGTCCTATACGTTTTCTCGTACTTCCTTTAATTTTTTACCAGTTTAAATTTAATCCTTTCAGAAAAAAATTAAAAGACTTTTAAAATTTTTTCAATACTCTTATATTTCATATTTTTAATTATTTAATTAACAATTAATTAATGTTATTTTATAATTAATATACAATATTTATTTTATTAATGTAATACCTTTAATTTAAATATTTTTATATAACGTATAAAAAAGATTTATTACATTTTGTTGAAACAAAATTTGTTTTAAATTAAATAAAGTTTTTATTCCTGAGAGAAATTTTCAGCTTTTTTTATACGGAAGTTGTCGACATCTTTTAAGGACGAAATTTAAATTAATGAGAAAATAATTAGACAGAAGAAAGTGCGGTGAACCTGAAACTCATTGTAAATCGTGGAGTATAAGAATACGATGCTGCCTGTAATCTATTGACCGAGAGTAAAGCCTTGCTCTCTCGCACGGATGGAGAGGAGGAGCTCAGCTGGCCGACTTCTTCCTTCTCTCCGATACGACACGCTTATCCACCAACCCGACGACCGTCCAGTTTTCTCGGTCACGGCTGCACGAGGGGGAGATCCCGTGTTCCTACATTATCCCCACGTGGACCACGCGGGGAGGCCCTTCGTCTTCTACCACCACGAGAGAGCTGACGTTTCGCGCCAGTTCAAAGAGCAGATTGGCAGCAAGTGGATTTGACTAACGAACATCGGCACCGAGAGATCTTTCTCGAAGGAGGTCGTTCATATCTGAGTTTGATTTGTTTTTGAGAAGGTTCCGCAAGCATAACCTGCAGAAATACACGATATTTGTGAAGAAAATACTTTGGTTTAGTGTTTAATGATATTGTTCTATGATAGTGTTGAGAGATTGATAAATATATATATATATAATTGCAGTGGTAGTGACAGTGAAATCCGGGATTGCAAATCGGTTGATACTAAAACTGTTAATGAGTAGTCTTAGTGGTTTGTTAGGATGAGAATTGGACAGTCGTGCTGGGTGCTGCTGGTAAGATCAATTTTTTCTTTCAGCGATATATTGAATTTTAATTTCTGTAACTATTTAAAAATAGTGAAATTTCTTGTGCTTTTCTAACTCTTAATTATCCCCGTTAAATAATCCTTTAATATTTTTAGATTTTTAGATTTTTAATCTATCGTGCTATCTAATCGTGCAATAATTATTCAAACGAATACGCAAGGAACTTTAATAATAACTATAATAATTTTTATGTAAACCATATTTACATTTTTTTTTCTTTTTTTAAAGTAGCATATTTAAGCCAATGAGATAATTACAAGGTTATTAAAGATAATTTAAAAATGAGATAATTAAAAGAATAATTACAGTGTACAATCATTAGTATTCCTTTATCAATGACTGCATTTAAGATAATTAATCTTTTAACTGTATTTAAAAAAATAAAAAATAATTAATTGTATTAATTGTCGAATTCAAAGAAAGTTTTATTTGCTATTTTGCTGAATGAATGAAGTTTCTGATTCCTTTAGTTTCTTGACCGTATGATGTCAGTTTACCTGGTCCAAAAGTGGAACAACCTTTGTCGCGACCTTGATCCAGCCGCTCTCTGGAATGAGGAAAAGTAATAGATGCTTCGCACATGCACTGGAATACCGAGTTCGCTCTCGCGCGAGAATTTGCGAAAGGCTCTTCATCAATGCGATAAATATGGAAACTGACTCGAAATACCCGTCAAGAAACGCAGTCACGCGATTCTGCTCATTGCCGAAGAACCTATTGAATATCAGTGAAATCGTTTGTTCATGTCGACGATTATATATATTGGGTCATTGCGATTATAAAATGATCGGCAAAATAGGTCTTTAATCTTAATAGGTCTTTAATCTTAAAAGAGGCATGTAAGATCATATTATAACAAAAAAAGAACGTTAACTTAATTAAATTTCTCTTATATTTTTATTTTTACATCAAGAAAAAAATGTTTGATATATTTGTAACTGTAATTGTATGATAAAATAATTACGGTTAGTAGATCCATATTTGTTATTATTTCTATAATATTAGTAATAATATTATATATAACATATAGTAATTATATTTATATTAATAATTCAAAAAGTGTAGTATAATTGGTCTAGAAAATGATTATAATTTATAAAAATAGAATTGCTTCCATAATTATTTTACCACGCAGTTATACTCACAAATACCAAACGCTTTTCTTTTAATGTCTGGCCAAATTCTTTATTCTCCAATAATAAGTGAGAGCAAAGGATAACTGAATCTTTGATAAAGATAAAAAATAATCGATTTCTCTTTCTTTCTCGTACAATTTCTAACTTTTACAAATTTGCTTACAAACACTGTTCAGTTTCACACACATTTCACCAAAGTAAAAAGAAATACATTTTTAATAACTGAATAATAGTTGAGGCATTCTTCATGTTAAAGCTGAGAAGTGGGTTCTCTTAGAGTTAAAGGCGTATATTGCATCGCGTGCATTATATGGTTAATACATTCTCATGTGCGTGCATTGTTGCATCCTACATTTACTGCTCGATCGTATTTTAGCGAAACTAAGTTGCCTTTATTAGAGTATCGAGAAGAGATACTCTCGAACATACGAAATGATTTTGTTCCATTAAACCACAATAAGAAATTACTAAACGTTAATGTTAAGAATATCCGGTCCAACCTATTAACACTGATGAAACTTAAGCACCAATAAATTTAATATCGCACCTACTCATTAATACGTCAAGTATAAATCTAGTGTTCACAATTAATGACTAGCTTTCAATATATTATTTCTCATTCATAATAATTAACTCGTTTAGTTGAAAATAATTAAATTGGAGAATAAATTCATCAAATATAGGTTCAATTACAGGTTGTTGAGAGTCAACTTCAATAAAACTGACGGTTATTTACTTTCACTGAAAATTCAAGTCTTTTGACGCACAAAAAATGATATACATATAAATTACATATATTGAAGTTATCAAGTCAAGTCTTATATTTATCGAGGCATGAAATCTGCATAATACTTTCGCGACGGTATGTTAAGAAGCTTCTTTTTCGACGATTGCATAAAATCGCAATGCGATCTCTTGCATCCTGCGAAAGCTCATTGTAGCCACTGCGTTTCCGGTGCAATGAACGTAAACTTCGCAGCTGACACGTTTCTCCGGACGGGCTTCCTCCTCGCGAAAAAAAGAAGAGGAAAGATCTCTTACGCGATAATCGGTCCACGCTCTTGGCAAACAAGAGAGATACGTGTAACGTAATTTACGCTTCCTTGCAGTTCACTCGCGGCTATGTATAGCGGCTTTGCACGCTCGTTACGATTGTTCTTTCCGGAAGTTGCATTTTATTGTCTCCCGGCGTTGAACCATACACGCCGTTTTCACTCGCGATTCAATTAAATCGGCGTCTCGCGCGCGACGTCCACTAATTATATATATTAAAGTTAATTAACATTCTACTTAATTCGCTTATGAAAATTTATATTTTGATTCGCATCAACCGCGTCTTCCTAGATAACTGTGTTAATTATAATTTACCGTATTAATAAGATTTAGATAACATCCTCTTAATACTTCTGACAAATTAATTAGGCAGATAGAGACGTAATAATGCATAATGTAATCCTAGAGTTATTAATGCGCTGCATATAATGCTTAAAGAGGTGTAATTATTAAATTATCTACTAATATTATCAACGGTAATTAAGAAAAATGTATCGTAACACGCGGCGTGCAATCTTTTATTTAATAATATTAAGTGAATTAAGTTTTATATATATATTTTATTTTCTAGGCAGTCGTGCTACTGTCCCCAATCCATGCCGAAAAGAAGAACACCGACAATGTCGATAAGGCCGATGATGGCGAGAAAACTCAGGAGAAGATATCAGCGTCTCTCAAGCTCGCCGATGAGGACGTCAAAAACAGGACGAGTAAAGTACGAGGAGTAGTGGCATCCGTGAGTGGGCACGTTTTCATGGAGGACTTTCGAATGACATTCATCTAATATTGCTTCTTTATTTTTTATAAAATATGGATTGTAAAGAAGAAAAAACATAAAAGTCTATATATGAAAAAAATTCATGGCACTTAAAGCCTAACAGATTACTGATTTATAAAATAGATATTATATTTGATTAAATAAATGAATAGTGAGAGAGATACATTATAATATTATAAATTATTTTATCTAAATCTTCATAAGATTAATCGATAAAGTAAGACAAGGTAACTGTCTTTCTTTATCGATTAATCTTACGAAGATTTAAATAAAATGTATCCTAGTAGCCAATACATGCATGTATACATTTATATGTATATATATATATACACATATATGAAACGGTTTAATAAGGTCACTATTTATATTTACATACAGTACAATTAACTTTACGGAATACATTTTTTTTTCAAAAAAATCGATCTTCTCAAACAACAACAGTGATTTTAAATCGATTTCTTTATAAAAAATTGCTTCTTTTTTTAACAAAAAGGATTATTTTAAAACGATCTGTTTGCAAAAAATCTCTTTTTAGTGAATCGATTCGGAGATCGCACATCTATACTTTTTTGAGTGTAAATAGATCATATTGGGTACAGTTACCTTATTATTTAGATACATATCTGTAGTCATTGGCTTTACGAAAGTAAAATACTAATTCTCCTTATTTTTGTAGGTAATGAAGACACCGGAGAAGCGGGAACAAATCGGCGAGGTAATACCAATAATACGTAGCATGTCGCAGTCACAAAAGCTGGCAATGGCAACTCTAATCTCCACTAGAATATCCAATAACGACACGACCTCTTCGCCACTTGAGGAAGTCCAGTCTCTTCTCGGCGGAAACAGAGAAAATGCGAGCAGGGATTTGATGCTGCCGATCAGCATGGACATAGCGAAGATCATATCCAACGATTCCGACTCCGAGGAAAGCGAAGAGGAGGACGAGGACGTGATACCCGAGGTGTTACCTGAAGTGAGTAAAAGCGCGTACAGATAAAAGAATAATATTATCTTTATGTAGTGCACGTGATCACGCACATATGATCTATCGTGTCGACTTTTTCCTACCATCGGAGAACGGTAGAAAGTCGGAGTTTGACGTGTCCACTTTGTCGTAAATTTCAGCGAGATTTATCCTACCGGTTAATAAATATGTATATTTTTCCTGGCAAAATGCTTACAAATATCGGCTTTTATTTATGTATATATATATATATATATATATATATGCAGTCACTAATAGATTCGAGCTTTACAACGATTTCTAAACTATCGAGTTGAATTATCTATGGGATAAATCTGTAGATTACTTTTATGCGGATCCTAGATTGATGCATTATTTTTACTTCCAACTAAATCAAATCTTAATTGAACACTCTTATATTATGATTGTTACATAATTATTTTAATTATTTTAAATATATTAAAAATTATTTTATTCACACACGGAAAGAACGGTTATGTTGAAGTATCTAAAAATTTGGCTAGATACAGATCTAAAAATTTTGTTAAACTGTCATAATTATACAGGACTCAAACTGATTCTAAAATATCCGAATTTTTTACAGTATCGCAACGTTATATTTGAATCTCCTACATAATTATTTTAATATTCCGACAAAATTAATTTCAGATCTGCATCCAGTTTTTTAACATTTCAGTAAAATTGTTTTATTCGTAATATAAATAAATTTAAGAGGCTTCTTTTTTCAAAGCAATAATATAAAAACAAGAAATATAATATCTGAAAATAATATTTAATAATAAAAAAGCCAAAATGTTCTATAATAAAAAGAGAGCAAGAAAAGCTCATACTTATTTTTATTTCTATATCACTATTTCATTTACTTTTTGTACATATTTAAAAAATTATTATGCAACATCATCATGCATATATTTTATAAGAATTTAATCTTGTGATTAGTTTCTTCTCGCAAGTTTCGTTGAATTTACTTCCGGCTTATGTCATATGGTTTAAAGGAATAACATTCGTCGAATCTTCATTCAGCTTAGATTGCGACATTCTTGGATTTAGAATGGACGCATCGTACGGTTTCACTTGTATCGAGCGGCCTTTAAACAGCGCCTTTTATGCAAGTACTTTCACGTGTTCGACATATTTTATTGCGACGACTCGTCGCAAGGACCATCTCTTGAATCTCGTGAGCGATGGTGTCGCGGTTACTATATACCACCAGATATATCACGCCAGAGAACGACTTTCCATTCCGGACATTAATTAGCGAGCAATTTGAACAGATATAGACGAATGTTGATTTATTCTGCGTGGGAATAGATAAGCGGTATTACAGCTATTTTTTCTGAAAGCTCTATAGAGAGTGATTGAAATTAGATAAAAGTTCAATTTTTAAAGTGTAGAACCGCTTCAATATTTTGTCCCAAAGATAATCTACGACGCATTTATTTATTTAAGCAAGATAGAATTATGTATTATATTTAATTCAAGATACTATAAAAAATAAAGGTGCAACATATTTTCAATCTGTGATGATTTTAAACGCGCGATACGTGGAGCACACTCGGTGCAAATAATATTCCTGAAGCATACTTAGGTAAACGATCATTAAGGTCAATGCACACGGACAATACTTGTAGGCGTTTATAATTACAGAGAATACACCGCAAATTTAATGTTCGCACGTCAAATTGCGATTCTAAATTTATTATACATCGTTAGAATTAATAAACGACAAATTCGATCATGTTTATTATAATTAACATCAGCAGAAAAAGGAGACAGAATTTAACTTTAAAAATATCTCTAACGACTAAATATCCTCGTTATTGTATTAAAACAATGTAATAAAGTGTTAAAGGAATAAAAGATGAGGAAAATATAATGGACTAGAATTTCAATAATGCAATTTTAATATGTTAATTTGATATTAACATTAATGTAGCAAGATAAGTTTTTATTTAACGAAGTCTTTCTCAATCATGATTTTGTATGACTAAATTATTAAAAATGAAAACAAAAACATAAAGAAATCAAAGTAACGGAGTTAAAATCAATACAAAGTAAAAATATAAATTAAACATCGTTAAGGTTATAAAAGTAAAGTGTATAATTAACGATTGATTGAGTACTACAATTATATTAATTCTCTTTATTATATTGAACAACATGTTAAAGTGAAAGTCTTCCTCTCTTTCGTATCAAATAAAAATTTTTTGATGTGTTACAAATATTTTTTAAATCTGATAATATAAGAATAAAGTAGCGTTTTCAATCTTTTTTAATTTGTGGCACTTTAAATAACCATCCTAAATCGAGGAACATTATTAAACGCATACGTTTTAATGAGCAGCATAGATCTTTTATGAGATGCCGCTAATATGCCATTCAAAAGTAAGTAGTAATGTTCTAAAGTTTCAGTTTTTAATTGAATAAAAATATAACGCTGAATATGCAAAGTAATAAAAAGAGAATAACGATCAATAAACGAGCAATAATGGATGTTTTACTAAAAAATATGTTAACATAATTTATTCAACCAATAAAATATGTATATGGAAAACGATAATAAATGATAATATTAATTTTGTAAAAATTTGTATAAACAAGTTTTGTAAATTGCAGGCTCAAGAGCTGCGTTTAGTTAGATCGCAAGAGCGACGGCGGCCTATAATCGTTAAACCAATACGACCCAAGAGGCCGTCTCTTCCAAACAGAAGGAACGTTTACACAGGTCAGTTTTTCCACGATAATCAACAATTTTGAATCGCAAAAATGACATAAAATGATCGTTAATGATTTTCCTAGGTTTATCGAGGCCGCCCGTAATGCGGCCAACTAAACGGCCGAACGATCCGAAGAGGAGGCCCACGGAAAACGAATGCACTTTCTTCACGAAGACGGTGTGTCTCGAGGCCAACGATTATCCACAGTGAGTCTGCCCTGAACTTTCGTTTCGGCATTGAATTAATGACGAACATTGTTACGCGGCGATTTGCATACGACCGAGATTAAAATCGCCCGGCCCGTCTTAATTGGCAGGCCGACGATTTTCACTTTCCGCATCTCCCCTTCTCAAGAGTATTAAAATAACTGCGATCTGCGAATTGTAGAGATAAATAAAATATTGATCGTATATGGCACAGAAGTTTAATTAATAAAATTCAAAATTTTTTTTATTACAGAATTTTAAAAAATTTAAATTCTTAATAAGACAAAGTACATTATTATATAGATTTCTTGAAATTGTTTTTTAAATTCGTTAATTATTTTTTTACAAATAGGTAATTTGCACAAACCGACTTATTATGGAGCCATGTATTGAACAATTGCAATACCATTTTGTTGATATTTTCTGCTGAATTCCTTTAAAATTTTCATTCATTCCTAGTCTTTCAAATAAGTACAAAATAAACATAAAAGAAATTTTTCGTGTTGGAGAAAATATGCTATTATTCGCTTTCACGAAAAAGCATTAATAACTGCCTTAACTTTCTAGCGAGGCGATAATAAGAAGTTTAAGGTCCAATAAGGAAATGGTATCGGCATTGTTGACCGATTATAAAGCGCAAGACGGAAGCGCGGAAGAAAAATTGCCAAGCGCCCTACCATTGGAGAACAGATACGAGAACAATGAGATTAAAAGGTAATTGAAATTTCCATATTTCTATTTCTCTTAAAAATTACCAAGTTTTTATTTTAGAATATTAATTTAATTTTAAATTTCTATTGACTTTAAATAAATAAAAATGATGCGCGTATATGTATAATAGAAACATGTAAAAATTATTTTCTTGCGCGTTTTATATACTTCAACAAATTTGATAAAAATAAATTATAAATATAAGGCAAGAGAAGTTAAGATAAAAAATTAAATAACTAAAAATTATAATTTTTTACAATTTAATAAAAATCTCTTTTATTACTTATTACATTTTTTGCTTTCAGACGATCTGACAATCCCTTCGACAACGTAGAGGAGGGTTTTACCTGTCCATCAACTGTCAAATATGCTCGCCCGCAATTAGCAAGAGCTGCTTCCGGAGCATGGAAGTATATAATAAACACAGGTGAACACACTCAGACGATACGACTGGAGAAATGTTCGTAAGTATGGTAACCAATATATTGTAAATTTTATTTGAAAAGAGAGTAATTTATTTGGATATTAATTTTGTAAATTTATGTAATATTCCATTTAAAGAGACTAAATAAAAGGTATCAGAGTTACGAAATATTTGCCTGTTATAATTAACGTTAAAGTTAATATATATGATTTCTTCTTATGACGTTGTATTACTGAAAAAAGTTATACATATATTGCATAAATTTGTAATGTCAAATTATATTTAATTTAAGTCATTTTTAATCATTCCTACAAGTCGCCACTTAATATGTCGTTAATTTAATTAAAACAATGGAATTAAACACTTTACTCAAAAAATGTATTATATTTAATTAAAAATTAGTTTATTATTTATAAATGTACCTAATAATTTGGACATTGTTTACTTTAAAACTAAGTAATTTAACTACAGAAATGAGTGTGGATTAATTAAATGTGATTGTTTCTTTAATTATATGATTTAAAATGTATTAAAAAATATATACATTTTGACATGGAAGTTAAAAATAAAACGTTATTTAATTCAAAGAATTAATTTAAATTTACTTTTTAATACTTAACAGTATATAATAATTTTATTTTTAATATGTGTTTTTTTTTATTTTTTAACAATATTTAATAATATTTAATATTTTTTTACAGCAATCCACAGTCAAGTTGCTCGTTCATCTCAGAAAACTATCGTTCCTCCTGCGTGCAAATCTATAACTATCACAGATTGCTGACCTGGGACCAGAAACTGGGACTCCACATGGACATATTCAAAGTGCCGACCTGTTGCAGCTGTCACGTACACGGTTACGCCGAGATCTTCCCGCCGCATCAAAAGGATCCCCCGACGAAGCCCAAGGAGTCATTCCCGGGCGCCGATTTCGCGTCGATCAACGACCAGAAGGACGATTTTCAGGATCTCAACAAGCCTGTCGTCCTCAATCATATTACCAAGTATACTCCCAGCATAAACTTCGACTCCAGCCACGGTACTTTAACTCAGAATCATTCGCCATCGCCTACATTGAATGACCTCAGCGAATATGTCTCGTTTTCTTCAGTGTCCAGCAACAAGAACCCGGTGTTGGAGATCAACCCGACGAGTAGACCCAGCTTTACTCTGCCTGGTAGCAGAACTAGGCCGAAGAAGCCCTCACCGATCCCGCGGCCGTACGACAAATTGCCGCAACAGCATGCGCCCAACACGCGAGCACCGGGTTACAAAGGACCATTGACCAAGAGCAGCAGGCCCAACCGACACAACAGGCCACCTTACAGACGAGAATCCACCGTTCACGAAGATTACACGGAGACTTCTCGTAATACGACCAGTCGGTGAGTAACGTGCAACACTTTTACCTTACTAGTTTAGTATTTTTTAAATTTTATAAAACATTTTTATATAAGAGAAATAATCTTTGTCAGATTATGATATCTAGATTTGATAGGGAAATAATCCAGATTATGACTTCTATTAATTAATGTTACAATTAAAATTTAGTAGAAATCCTTGAAGCTATTAGGAATCATTTTTCAGATACAGTCAGCCGTACGATCAGGATGTGGATGCAACGTCGAGACTGCAAAACGGAGGCTTTGACGACGAGTACCAGGAACCGCAAAGGAGAATCAACTATAACTACCACCCAATCATAGACTTTTTTAAGCCGGAGGCTTCCATGTTGAAATCCGCAGAACCGCAACTCGTCACCCAGTCGGCACCGGTCCAAAGTGACAACAACGCGTGGAAGCCAATGATATCTTAAATCCTAGTGTTCTTCCTTCGGAGTACCTGACATCCTACTTTAATGAAGATTCCAAATCACGTATTTCACGAAATTCGCGTTTCTTACATTGATATCTACGATCGTGAGAGAATAATATTTCCTAGAGAAAAATACAGCGTCCTGTGCGGTAACATGTTCATTGTTTATGTGCCTCTAAGACTTTTATGTTGGATTCAAACAAAAGAAGAAAGAATCCAAAATTTAATTAAAATTGTAAGTGAAGACTAGCCTACATTTAATTTAACATCTTACAAGGCACTTTGTATTATTATATAATTTTTAATAGATACTTTATCTAATTAGTTTTCCTTTACTGCCTAATTAGGTTATACAAAGATATAGTAAGTGTGACGAGTAAATTTTTATTTAAATATTACTTGAAGATTCTTCGTATATTAATAGTGAAAAGACATCAAAATATGTAGATGTTGTATTATGGCCAAAATGGGTAGATGCAATGATTGTTTCACTTTTTTCGGACATTCGGATACGTTCGTCTCGATCTAATATTTATTAATTGTTACCTCTTTCTATTTATAATTATTATAAATAGAGAGAATTATTTATAAATTATATTTAAGGAGTTTACGATATATGATCGTATTTTGTATCACCAATAAAGTATTCTTAGATCGTTCTTTTTTAATCTTAACACCTATTTATAGTTGTTTGAGCTGATTCAATTGTAATTCAAAATTAGATCGACGAGAATTAATTAATTAAGAGAAATAATCCTATTTTCGGTCAAAGCGAACCATATGCTAGGATAATTGAATTCGTTCAATTTTTTACAATAATTAATCGCGGATATATATTGAAAAATTTTTATTTTATGCCAAATCTAAAAGAGATTCTAACCCAACCGCATCTTTATAGAAATGGAGAAAGCTAAATTTCTCGTAGTTATATGTTTTGTAAAAACTTTTCTACAAGGTTTGCTTACTAGCAAAGTAGAAACAGGAAAGAATTAAGTCTGTTTTATTGTTGTCGTGGCTTGATTTCTGTTATGCCCAATTTCTTCATTTCTAGGTAACTTTATCCAGGAGATATCTCCCAGGTTATAATGGATAAAGTTATTCGCAACTTATGTGGATATGAAGAAATTGGGGTATTAATCCTTTTTAGAATTAAAAAAAATTTATCTGAAAGAGAGAGAGAGAGAGAGAGAGAGAGAGAGAGAGAGAGAGAATATATAAGT